GGGGTGCAGGTGAAATCGAGGGGGGATTTGGAAAATTTTGGTAGGAAAAGGGGGGGATGGGCAAATTTTTATCAGAAAAATGGGGGATGTACAATTGTTGGAAGAAGCTACAAGCCTTGCTTAGGGGGGATCGTATTTTTTTGGATGACTTTAAGGGAGGTGTTAAGAATTATTCTGGACATTTCAAATTTTCACCGTCCACACGTATCCGCAAATTTTTGTATCCGCAATTTTTTTTTTTCGGAAAACGAAAATGTTCGCGTCCACACGCAGCGTATTCGAATCGTTTTCGAATCGTTTTCACTGTCCACACGTATCCGTAAAGTTCTTGATCCGCTGATGCACGCTAGTGCCTAGTCCCTTTGACGGATAGTTTTTCTTATTGAGCATGCGCAAAATCGTGTTTACGTCATCGTAATCGAAAATTTGCGGATACGACCGTCCACACCTATCCGTATTCGGCGCGTATTCGAAAATTTCCACTCTGGAGAGCGTTTCCGAAAATTTCCGGATACGGAATATTTTTTGTTTCCGCAAATTAATTTTTGCGGATACGAAAATGTTTGCGTGCACACGCAGCGAAATAGAATCGTTTTCACCGTCCACACCATAGTTAATAGAGGGGAATGGTTATGAAAGCCGGCGAACTTCAAAGGACTATGTCTTTGTTCGACTTTATGGGCTGTCACGTGACATTGAYCGTGCACATAGTCAAAACAACACACAACTCGAGTATAGCGTCGCGACAATAAGATTATATGTTTTAGTAGATTTCTTTCATATTTCATCATGTAATTACGGCATATTCAACTCGATTCTGCGCTACATCCTTTAGAACGTAATGCCTGGAGATAATTGTTCAGTATTCGGCTGTGGCAGTTGTAGAAGAACGAAAGGAATAGGAATATTTAAGCTACCTTCTGCCTAAGACGATCTTCACAAATCATGGCGAGTAAATTGGCTGCGAGAGATTACGAATTCCTATTAACTATGTCCACACGTATCCGTTTTCGTAAAATTTGCGGATACGGATACAAAATTTTGCGGAGCCTTAGTCGCATTTCGTACTTTACCGCCTCAAAATAAAATTCGCTCGTGGGTTGGCGTTTTATTCGTAGAAGTTCCGGTTTGGCCCAGAGACACTAGAAGAGACGTTCTTTAAAGTGATGCAGCTCACTTTTTGATTTGTTAGGTACCAGCAGAGATATTGGAGTCTAAATTTCGTCTAAAATTTGACCTTCGATTGATCACAAAAAGAGAGGATTTTGTGAGGCTAAATATAAGTGAAAATAAAATAGTTGATAAAAAAAACAAAACAAAAACAACAACAACAAAAATTGGTTACTTTCTCCACGCCGTCTAGTGCTTATTGAAGTTGGCTTTCGATTCGTGCATAATTAAAATTAGGAATGATCAATATTTGAATCGATTTTTCAAACTTTCGTAAAATTTCACAAAAATAAAATTGAGCTTGGACTTTTAGATCGTGTTTTCTGAAATACCCTATCTAAAAAGGTTCTTTTGCTGAAATAAAAAAATCAACTTTGATTTTTCCTAACTGTCTTTTCATTAACTGGCTTTTCAAGTACATCTAACGTCACGCGTGAACAGTTTCTGTTCAATTATTCAAAGATTGAAATAAATATTCATAMATTCAAACGATTATACATATCTTACGATTCTTAGATAGTAATCTTAATTTCAAGTTTTCAACACTTGCTATTCAATCATTGAATAATCAATACAAATTTCAAAAAGTTGCTTTATAGCCTTGTTGCCACAGTAGCAATAATAAGATATTGTGTTTAAGTTTTTTTGAACACATGGTCAGACAATTAGTTCCCGACATACTGTCTGAAAATCGTTACAGGACTTATCGTTTGCTGACTTTAAATTAGGAG